AATCACAAGAATCACAAGAATCACAAGGTTGGAAACAACCTATAAGATCATCCAGTCCAACTGTCTCCTCATCACCATTGCCACCACTAGCACTAAACCATATCATGCAGCACGTCATCCAGACACCTCTTGAACACTGCCAGGGACGGCGACTCCACCACCTCCCTGGGCAGCCATTCCAGTGCCTGACCACTCTCTGAGAGAAGAAGTTCTTCCTTATGTCCAACCTGAACCTCCTCTGATATAACTTGCAGCCATTGCCCCTTGTCCTGCTCATTGCCTGGGAGAAGAGGCCAGATCCCTCTTCACCACAGCCTCCCTTCAGGAGGTTGTACAGTGCAGTGAGGTCTCCCCTGAGCCTCCTCTTCTCCAGACTAAACAATCCCAGCTCCCTCAGCCGCTCCTCGTAAGGTTTGTGCTCCAGACCCCTTACCAGTTTTGTTGCCCTTCTCTGAACACGCTCCAGGATCTCAACATCTTTCCTGTAGTGAGGGGCCCAAAACTGAACACAATACTCGAGGTGCGGCCTCACCAGTGCTGAGTACAGGGGGATGATCACCTCCCTGCTCCTGCTGGCCACACTATTTCTGATGCACAAGAGAAGGGAAGGAATGTCATTGACTGCTTGGTTTTGGCTGTGCTCACGGAAGCAGGACTTGGAGTAAATCCTTCCAGAGGACAATGGACAGGCTGGTCAACTGCAAAGTTCAGCAGAGGGTCACCAACATGGTTAAGGCTAGAGAACATGGCATATGAAGACACGCTGAAGCAGCTGGGCTTGTTTCACCTGGAAAAGAGAAGGTTTCTGAGGAATGTTATTGCTGCCTTCAGTAGAGACTGAACATAGGGAAGATAGAACCAGACTCTTCTCATCTCAGAGGTGCCCATAGAAGACAACAAGCGACTATTTGCTCAAACTGCACTAGAGACACACCAGTTGGACTTGAGGAATGAAGTCTCCATGCTCAGTGTAGCCATGGGACAGGCACAAAGATATGTTAAGGGATCGTCAGCCACGAGGACATCACCGACCAGACTGGATAAGGCTTTGATCAATCTGATGAGGTTAACTCCAGTTAACCCTGACTTAGGCAGGAGCTGGACAGAAGAACCATGGTTGGCCCCTCTAGGTTACATCTGTTGGTCAGTCAATGTATGATGCTAACTTTTGATGCTGGCACTTCTTTGCCCTACTTCTTAATTCAGTGAACAAGACACAGAAAGTTGTTACTCTGATGCATTGCAGAGGAGGATCTGGGCAGAGGCCACTGGGTTCAGAGGGCACGAACAACTTGACTGCTCAACTTTGCAAGGTTAATATCAGAATTGAATTCATGCAGGAATTTCAGTAGGGGATTGTGTGGCCGTAGCATGTGAGGGATCATGGATTAAACATTACCAATTAATCCAGGTGACTCTTCTGGATTAAGAGACTTGCAGCCCTAGAGTCACATTCTGAACAAGGCTCCCACCCTTAGCTCCCACACATGGTATTGAGGTGGGGGGTCAACGGCTAGAGGAGATTTGGCATTTTCCTGTGTGAAAAAAATGACTGTGAAGTCAGTAAAACTGTACTTCAGAAAGGAGATGGGAGCAGTGGGTCACATACCTACCTATGTTGTTGCATGGGATTGATGTGACAACGTCAGGGCAAGGAAAGAAGCGGTGCAAGAGTCTTTGAAATGCACTAGTGAACAGATCACGCTGTTTGGAAAGCTGTTTCGTAACTGCAGATGCCCCAAGAACATTTTGTTATTCCAAGGCACTGAGAGCAGAGCTTGGGGTTTAAACCCCTACTTACATGTACCTGAGCCAGTGCTTCAAGCACCAGGCACTGACGTAAATGTAGACAGATTTGCCACCACCCAACAACTCAGGAAATCTGGGTGAAGAGAGGTGTTTCTGCTTACATGACGCGGGAGCTAGCTGTGGAGTAAAGCAGAGCTTCTCTGGGTAGCAGCCCTGCCTTGCACCCCTACATGTCACCAAATTATCTTGAGCGACTTCTGGGCAGTTTGGCCCCTGAGTCACTCACACTACTGCGTACTACAGGCTTGGAGTACTCCAGGCAATGGCACAAAAAGGGTGGACAAACACCCTAGCTGGACAAAAGTCACTGCGAACAGAGGTTGGTGGTAAGCTCTGTATTTCTCAGACCAAACATGGAAACAAGGGACAGGATAGCCACAGTGAGCGACACAAAAGGAACAGGCACCCCTCCCTGGACAGGAGGAAGTGCGTGCCTCCACGCAGATAAAAGATCTTCGGATGACTTTATCACAAGCGGACTGTGAATGATTAGCTAAGCATCACTGTTGTGGGGAAAATTAAATAAAATACAAATTGATGGGAGGACCCAAAGTGTGATACTCTTTAAGCATGACCAAGGAAGTCAGCAGCTGAGGATTGATTCTGAAGAAATCGCAGGTGTAAGCTATGCAAATAGCCACCAGGTTAGGAGATTTCTTATTAACTGAATTACGGAATTGATGGAGAAGGCAGAGTGAGTGGTGGCACGTAGGCACAGGGACAGACAAATGTCCTGACTCAGAACAGAATGATGCAAAACCTGATAACCTGCAACCACAAAGTCTCCCAGAGCCTTGAAGCAGCGAGATAAAACTACCCAAGGTCTTGATTATGACCTTATGGCTGAGATGTTGTCACGGAAATCCCTTTCTCCAGGATGGAGGACAAGTATTTTCACGCTTTTTTAAAAGACTTCTTTTTTGAAATGCTGTCAAAGATACTGGTGGATCTGAACAAGTGTTTTAGCATTTTCTGCTCTGGTTAGACAGAAATAGAATTGTTAGGCTGAAATGTGCAGGAAGCTTCAGAGAAATCCTGTTGAGCATGACTGCACTTCCCAGGGAAACATGGAGACCTCTTCTGGGGTAAATAATAAGGGAAATGAAAGAAACTGCATTGAGTGTAAAACCTGCTTGAGTTGAAATGGTCCAGAGGGGTGTTTCAGAACTTGCAAAGAAGAAAAACGCATGCTGAGTTTGCCTGATGGAAGTAAACTGACTTACAGTCGTGTCAGCAAGGCACCTATCCTCTCATCTACTAAGGGAACAACAACCCTGATCATCGACTTTTTAGGTAAACACATTTTTGTTGAGCTGATGTGAAGCTGCTCTGGCAATACAGACTGTTTTGCACTATAAACTGACGATTATGACATGACCTTCATAGTACTGCTACTGCCATGCTTGAGGGAAATATGCATACCTTTGTGGTCAGAAGTCATCGATGCCTACCAGCTTTAAAAAAAAAAAAAAAGAAACAAAAAAAGAAACAACCAAGTCCTCAGCAGTTTTTATTTGGAGCTTTCTTTGGCTGGTGGTCAAAAGAGTTTGCCAGGTAGCACTGAAAGGCAAACAACAAGAAACAGACCACGACATGAGCTTCAAAGCTTCTTTTAAACCAGGATCTCAGAGGAACTTCATAGCAGCTGGCCAAGACCTTGTGATATTTAAGGATTAGACCCACACTGGACATCAAGTACTGTCAGGGAAAATACAGATGGAAAACATGAAGTGGAATAAGAAGAAAAGCTCAAAAGAGGAGAGGAAATTGAAGCTGGAGTGCTGACAGCCATGGCAAGGAGGGGTGGAAGAGCTGAAGGTTCTGCCTCAACAAAAAGCTGTTTGTCTGCACCAGTGCTGCCAAGGAACTGCTTTCCTTCACACCCTGCAATGGGGCAGGGAGCAGAAGCTGTCCAGCCACGTGGCTGTGCTGGCAAAGGGCATTGCTGCACCTTGAGAAGAGCCAGCACCACCAGTTCCTGCTGGAAGAACAAACTTTCAGTCTGCTGGGTTATTCAAAGCACAGCTTAGGCTGCATGGGAATCATCAGCATCCCCAGACGTGCTTAATTCTGGGCAACTCTGCTTACTCAGGGTTTTCCTTGAAAATCAGTGGGTAGAATCACAGAATCTCCAAAGTTGGAAAATATCTCCAATATCATCCAGGCCAGCTGTCCACCAACCACCCGTATTTCCCCACTAACCCACGTCCCTCAGTACAACATCTAAACATTCCTTGAACACACCACGGCCTGCCCTGGAGCATAGCTTGAAGGCTGGCTGCAACATGCCCCAAAAAGGAGCCACAAGCAGATGCCTCCAGCAAACAGGCACATTTAGGAGGAGCCAGCCACTCACTGTCTTTCTGCAGTTTGCAGAAGTGTAAACACTGGGGCTTCGTCAAGGGAGGTGTAGCGCTGTATAAACACTGAGTAACGCGTCCTATCACAGCTTCCCTTGCACATGCTCCTTCCCCTGCCCTTGTAACCACAGGTCAGCTCCACTAATTCCACCCTGCCTCTGACAAACATCACTGGGAACGAGAGATACAGCTGGCCCCGATGCGGGAACGTGCCAGCCCTCGCTTGCCTGCAAGGTAAAAAAAGGAAAGGAAGTTCAGAGGTACTGCCATTCATGCAAGCAAACAAATGCAGCAGGAAGAAGTAACAACATGAGCAGTTGAGGCTATTTTTAAATGGTTCTGGCACCGCTGCACGACATATCCCGAGTGGTTTGTTTTGTTTTTCAAAGGCAGAGTTTTTAAATGCAGCCCAAGTTTGAAAACTCTCACCTTCGGGCTGCTCGGGGAACACCGGGGTGAACGATCTGGAGATAGCACCCTGCAAAGGATCTCACACAGAACGCTCCCCGCCTCCTCCAGGGCCTGAAATCTCGAGCTTCTCCCCGCAGCCCATCGCCCCGCGGGGAAACGGCGCGCAGACGCCGTGTAGCCGCAAGGCCCCAGGCCTGCCGCCCGCTGCCCGCACCGCGCGGGAGACGGCGCCGCGTTTACGCCGCGCTGAGCGAAGAGTGGGGACGGGGCCCGGAAAGAGGAAGGGGCCCCGAGCGGGGACAGGGCCCGCAGCCCCCAGCCGGCCGTCCCCGACTCCGCGGCACCGTGAGGCCGGAGCGGGGCTGCCCGGAGCTGGGCCAGGCCGCGGCGGGGCCAGGGGGAGCGGGGCGGCGCCGGGCCGGTCGGGGGCAGAGGGCGGCCCCGCGGCGGGGGGAGGCTCCGCCGTCGGCCCTTGGACCCGAGAGCCGAGCCGAGCCGAGCCATGGCGGCGCCGGGGCAGAACCTGGCCGTGGTAGTGCACCGAGCCGGGGACCTGCGGCTGGTACGGGCCGGGGGGAGCGGGGAGAACGGGAGGCAGACGGGAGAGCCGCGCCGCCGGCGGGGATCGCCCAGAAAAAGCGTTCCCGGAAAGCGGCGGGTGCGGCCGGCCAGTCGCTTAACGGCTGGGACGGAGCGCGGAGAGGAGCCGGCCGGGCCACGTGCGTCTGTCGGCGTGCCGCCGCAGGTGCCGGCTTTCGAGCGCCGCTTCAAACCCGGCCGTGCCGGCCTCGCGCCAAGCGGCTGTCCGCGCTAACGGGACCGGCGGGAGAGCCGGCATCTCGGGCGGGCGTCGGACCTGCGGGATGTGCCGGGCTGCGATCGCGGCGGCGGTGCCGGCTGTTCCCGCGGGGCGCCGAAGGCCGAGCGGCGCTCACCTGGTGGCGCGTCCTGCGCGGCTCCCCGCCAGCTCGGCCCCGGGGCGGCCATCGCCGCGAGCCCTGGCTGCCGCCCCACGGGAACGGCCCCGGTGAGGAGCAGGCCGCTCCCTCCGGTTCAGAAGCACGTTCCCGGGTCCTGTCGTTCAGAAAAAGCGCACGAGGCTCGGGACAGCGGGTGCCGGCTCATCCCGTTCGTGTCGCCGGTCTCTGATCCCACAGGCCGAAAGGGACCTGGGGGTCCTGGTGGATGGCAGCTGGATGGAAGGCAGCGCTGTGCCCTCGCAGCCCAGGAAGCCAACTCTGTCTTGGCTGCATCTGAAGCAGCACAGCCAGCGGATCTGCCCCTCTGCCGTGTGCTGTCAGACCTCACCTGAGTGCCACGTCCAGATGGGGAGTCCTCAGCACAAGAGAGAGATGGGGCTGTTGGAGAGCAACAGAAATGCTCCAAGGGGTGGAACACTTCCATACGAGGACAGGCTGAGAGCTGGGGCTGTGCAGCATGGAGAAGGGTAGGCTGCAAGGTGACCTGATAGCGGCCTTCAGTACCTAAAGGGGCTGTCGGGAAGAAAGGGACAGACTCTTTAGCAGGGTCTGTTGTGATAGGATAGGGGGAAATGGTTTCAAACTGCAAGAGAGGAGATGTAGGTTGGATGTAAAGAGAAAGTGTTTTACAGTAGGATAGTGAGGTGCTGGAACAGGTTGCCCCATGCAGGAGGTGGTGCATGCTCTGTCCCAGCAGATACTCAAGGTCAGGCTGGACGGGGCTCTGAGTCCCTGATCTGGCTGTTCATTGCAGGTGGGTTGGGCTTCTGTATTTCTTTGCCCCAGTGCTCTCGTTGCAGTGCCCACTGGTCACATTAAGAGTTTGAGCAGGAAACTCTGAGCTTTTGTGTGCGTTATTGATGGGTGAAGTTAGGTGAGGTAATTCCCATGATAATCACAACCGTATGAACCTGTCTGCCATAGGGAGAGTCACTGTGAATTCAGATTCTATGTTACGTGAGAATTTATTGGCATATTTTTGTTAATTCTTCTTCAAATCTTGTACAGTAAGAACAGCCTCCCATTTTCTGCCACTTTGAGGTAAACTGTTCTGTATCCTTTCTCTCTTAATATATCTTCTTTCACAGAAGAAAATGCTGCATTTGCTTCACAGCCGCAGTCAGACCTATTGCTGTCTCTGGACTTCAGCAGTGGACAGAACATTTGTCTAGAAATGTAGAGTCTTGGATCATTATATTTTTAACAAATCAAGCTGGAGGATTAGTTTTCCATTAAAGCATTTGTCATTTGATGCAGCTGTTACTGAAAAGAAAAAAAAGAAAAGGTGTTTTTCTTTGGACTGAGGAATCCCACCTACACAGTTTCAGCTGAAAGTTGGCTTTGTTTTTATCTGTAGCCATTGACTAGAGACTGCCTGATCCCTTTGGGATAGCTGAGCTGTGTCCTTGGTGGGACAGAGTTGCTTCCCTCCCAAAATAAGTTCCTTGCATTGACAGTTTCAGTCAATGGACTTACACCACACTTCGCATTGCACAGTGCCACTGGTTATTTGGTAGGTATTTCTTTTAAGAAAGCTGTGCTGTGGGAGATGTGTGCCTGGGTCAACTTCTATCCTCCTTGCCTTTGCCTCGCCCCACTGCATGTCCCCCAGTTCCCAGTTGTGATGCAGTACCCCTGTAATCAGCCTACGGGTTTGCAACCAGGTTTGTGTACAGATGAGCTTCAGGATTTCCGTATCTGTTTTTGCACTCATTAAATTTCATTTTGCTGCTGGAATTTTCTAGAAAATTTCCTTTTCTAAATTGAATTTGGAGATCTTTCATTGCTAACTAGATACTGAAGGCACTCTTGCAAAAAGATACAGCCAGAGGTAAGCACTGCAAGGGGCAAACACCAGCTGTGGGCTCACTGGTCTCTGATGTCCATCAGATGTTTCCTAGTAGCTGCTGTATTGAAACAGGAGCTCTAGGAACAGGAGGTCTGCTCAGAGGACTCATGCCCAATCTTGGCCTGTGGGCAAAGGGCTCTGGTGCATGAACGTTTGAGCAGCAGAGAGCAAGGTTAGCACAAACACCTTTGGTGAGGACTTCCTTAGAAGTGTGATTCTAGGGGTGGGCTTTAGGTGAATTTCTTATTGTTAATAGTAAAACAAATGTAACCTTCTCCCCTTTACTTTCTGAACGCTGAGAAGAAATCTATGGCAGATCTTTAGAGGTGGGACATTCGTGTGCCCTTGACCCCAAACCTCAGAGATGTTTGGAAGCACAGTGTGCAGTGGAGCAACATTGCATCATTCCATCTCAATGTTGTAAGACCCAACAGAATTCTTCCTTTGTCTTTTGGAGTATCTGGGGGAGATTGGTGAAGGCAGAAAGCTTGCAGACCATTTGGGAGGAAGGATGGCCTGTGGCCAACAGCCAGCACCCTGTGATGACTTTCAGAAGCCTGCACTTATTAGTCATAGCATAAAGAGGAGTTCATGCCAATTGCAAGAAGAGAATGTGACTTCGAACGTGGTTTACAGTGGCATTTACAAGTGATTTATACATTTAGTTATTTCTCTGTAGTAAGAATATTTTCTTTATAGTATGATCATAGAATCATAAAATCCTTGGCATTGGAAGGGACCTTTAACGGTCATCTGGTCCAACTCCCTAAGGTGAACAGGGACATCCACAGCTCCATCCATTGCTCAGAGCCCTGTCCTGCGTGACCTTGAGTGTCTCCAGGAACAGGGCATCCTCCACATCTCTGGGCAACAAGCACCTGAGTCCCTCTTGTCTTTTTCTGTTTGTCCACAGGAAGACCGTCCGATCCCAGAACCGGGTCCCAATGGTAGGTCTGCAGAGGGCTGGTTCTGCCGGCCTCCTTTGCTGCTCTGTTTTCTTTTCTCATTCTCTTTTGTCACTCCATGATACTACAAATACTGTATGTATGCTATGCAGCTGAGAAAGTATAAAATAATCTAAAAAAAGAATCTGCAGCTGGAATGGATAATGCTGTGTTTCCCTTTGAGAAGAAGAGCTGGAGCAGTCACAGAAGTATCCGAGTATCTGGCGCTTTTTTGCATCCTATTTCATGTATTTCACGTTACGCTGCCATTGGGACAGGCCAGAAGGTGTTAGCAAAGGGCTAAATAGTAACAGGCTGGGTGTATGGCCTCGTGGGAATTTGATTCACTGCTCTCCCCAGGGCTGAAATTATACCTTAGGCAGAAGGAGAAATTAAATGTTCTTGCTCTTTTGTGTTTGCTCCAGGAGTCAGCATGCCCCTCTTGGCTTGTATTAGCTTTCATTGACAGGGATCTCACCCTCTTTTAAGCTTTCCTGAAATGAAAATCCTTGTGTAGTTTTGCGTTTCAGCACGTCTCGTGAATGTGCCATCTGTCCCTAAAGAGGGTTCTGGCGCATTTATTTAATTCCAATAAATCTGAATATTTCAGAGCTGGTTTGACTGTGGTCATGGGACACAGAGACAATGATTGCGTCTCTTCAGTGACAGAGAAGGTAAGTTTTTCTGCATGGAACCTTTCGTCCCTTTCTGGCAGAGGTCCTCCTGCGGATGCATTCTGTTGGGATCTGTGGTTCTGACGTTCACTACTGGCAGCATGGTCGAATTGGAGATTTTGTCGTGAAGAACCCCATGGTGTTGGGGCACGAAGCTTCCGGGACCGTCGTCAAAGTGGGAGCAGGAGTGACACATCTGAAACCAGGTGATCAGAATCGAGTCTGTCCGTTGAGTTTTTTGTTTTCCTGAGGGTGCATTGATATCAAGCTGTGCTTTTCCATTGCAGTAATGCATCTGCTTTTATGAGCTGTGGGTCACCCTCCTCTAAAAGTGCCACAGTGCTGTGTATCACCCAACTTGACTGCGGTGGTTTTCCGTAGGAAAGGTGCCTTGTGTTACCTTGATCTGCTCTGATTGTGTTTTAGTGCAGGTTATAATGCATGCTGATAAGAGGTATCTTTAGAGGGAGCTGGAGAAAGCATCAGAAACTACACACATTACTCTTGCCAACAACCTGCTGTTAATGTTTCTTCAGTGTGTGTGTACATGAAGGAGCAAGTGGCCTCCTGCAGTGGAGAGGGCCATTGGAGCAACTGTATGAGGTCTCATGTTGTGACCTCAGCAGTTTGCAGAAATGTCCTAGATAATGGACCTAGCAGCAGACTTTGCCATTTACTGATGACTGGGAGATAAGCAGAGTGGAAAGGACAAGAGGGAGGTAGCAGGGTGCCTGGGTGATGGGATGCAGATGAAATTCAGTGCAGATGAAGGAGGAAGAGAAATTGCTGTGGGCTGCGAAATGCAGAGAAACCACATGCAACCTGGTTATCCCCAAAACTGAAGGTAATGGGAGAACTTTCAGCATATCCTGCCCCTTTCTCCCCTGGGCATTCCCTGCGTGCTGTATCACAGACATCACAGCGAGCTAGAACAGGCCTTGGCTGTAATCCTTCCCTTCGTTAGTCACTGTACCTGATTAAGAGCCTTCTGGTGGAGAGCTGAGAGAAGTTAGCACCGACTGGCTTTCTCTGCCAAATAAAAGGAACTGTCTTCTGTCCCTTCTGTACTTGTAACATGGTCCCACTGTTTTTTTCCCTTAGTCCATCCTGCCTTGGAAGTATATTTAAGTCATATTTCTTTGTTCTGCAGCACGTGTCTGTCCAGCCATCCAGACTACGCTGTCATTACCATCAAGCTATCTCTGTTCTCTGATACGTCCTGCCTCAGTCCTGGTTGTCACCTCTGCATCTTGAGTTACTTTCCAGCTTGATGACCAGCAAAGCTCTCCTGCTTTGTCTTAATTATTTCTTACTCTGATTGTTACAGATTTTGAATGAGATCTGATCAGTGTGGGACTGCTTAGGCTGAGGGCTGTCTTTTCATCTATTGAGGCTGAATGCAGCTGGAGAGAGGTTTATATGTGACTGAGCCTCCATCTGCTCTGGGGCCGTGCCTCTGAAACACCAGCTCTTTTCATCTAACTGTGAAGGTCTTGGTGAGGAGGCCTCTGTAGAGGAACTGTTGGGAACTTGCCTGCTGTGAGCAGCGTGATCTTTTTCAGCTAACAGATGTCCCTCGTGCTTCTCCTGTGCCAGGGCTTCATGCTGTTCTGAGCTGTGTGCCCACCTTTCCCTCTGAGTAACACTCTGCTTTCACCCTGGCAGGTGATCGTGTGGCCATCGAGCCTGGTGTCCCGAGAGAAACAGATGAGTTCTGCAAAGCTGGCCGCTACAACCTGTCTCCAACCATCTTCTTCTGTGCAACACCTCCTGACGATGGGAACCTGTGCCGCTACTACAAGCACAGCGCCAGCTTCTGCTACAAGTCAGTCCTGCGCCCTCTGCAGAGGAACTTATACTCCCTGTAGGGAGGTGAAGCCTAATCACTCTTGGCCCTTTTGAGTCTCACAGTGAGCGCTCTTTACTTGAACACAACAGGTCTTGTTGCTTTCTGATCCATGAATAGCATGTAAAGGCTGGGACAGCAAGCTGCTTTGCAAAGGGTTTATCAGGCAGGTGTAGCTGTCCCCTCTGGCGCCAGACATCAACAGACGTTTCCTGCATATTTCCTACAATATCTCTGCTGTTGTACCCTATAATTATTTCCTTTTCCCGCTTGCTCCCTGCTCCTGGAGCCTTTTCTGTTGTCCTTTTATATCCTTGCCTTCTTACAATTGTGCCTGCAGGTCTTTGATTCCAGTATTATTGCTGCTTTTCAGGAAGCACCACATCAATTGCTGACACTTCGCTCTGGCATTTGAAACAAAGCCACCCCAGTTACAGCAGAACAGGAAGAGAAAACGGCGTCCCTGCTAAGCTGTTTTTTTTAATGTGGCACTGAGTGGCCCCACCGAGCTGCCAGTGTTACACACCTGTTTTCATCTCCATTTGACTGCGCTCTTAATTGTGGCAGGATTGACATGTTTGCTTACAGGCAAACTGTGCTTAAGTACTCCAGCAAATTAATATGCTAAAAATTGTGTTAAAAAAAATTATACCCGTGAAAGAACGTTTACACAGGAAGGTAAAAATAGGGTAAGATGCTGGTTCCTTGAGACAGGTCTCTATCTGGAGCGTTTCTTTCTCAATCTGCGTGAAGCAAGGAGTTCCCCAGAGTTGATCTTTGGTGTCTGCAGAGGCAGCATTCAGGATAAATCATTCTGAAGGAGGCATCTGAATGCTTTTACTTCTCATGAGCATCCTCAGGCAGGAAGGTCCTTTCAAACTGGATCCTGAGCAGCTGCTAGCAGAATGAGACGCAGCTCTGTATGGGCCTAACTTCTTGCTGTACAGACCTACTCTCATTGATTTTCCCTGTTTCATTAAAATAACATTTCCTGACGATAAGTTCTTGCTGGGGAAGAATTGGCTGTTTTTTTTGTATCTGTCTTATGTTAGGGAGAGGTCAACTGTTTTCCCCAGTTTGAATATCTAGGGATGTTGCTTTGATTAATTAATTTTTTTTTGCTTAAACTATGAAACACAGCCTGGTTCTCCTGGGTTCAGATCAGCAGTGCCATGGCTGTGTGATGCAGAGGAGGTTCCCTGGCATGAAGTTGCTCTGTCAGCACAGATTTGGCAAGAAAAGCTGGTGGCAGAGCTCAGTGGGCATTTGCACATTTGGGAAATTGTTGTCTGTCTTTCTGCAGGATGTGATGCCAAACTTTCAGGCATCCAAACTCTTGGAGTCAGCCCTTTGATGCCTCCTGGAGATAAGAGACAGACATCTTACAGCTACCTTCCCACAGCTGTCATTTCCGTTGCTTTTCTTCGTGCAGGGTTGGCTGAGCTCTGACCTTGAGCTTCCCAATGCTGTCCCAGCACCTGCTGCGTGAGAGGCCACACAGGTGGCTTTCTGAAAGTCTAGGTTTTATTTCTGTCAGCAGCACAGAAGGGATTCACCCTCCTTCTGCTTTTTTTTCCCAACAGTTTTGCTATCTGCCCTACACTTCTATTTCTGTCCAAAAGGTGTTCGATACCCTCTGCACACATCTGTGCTGTCTTCAGGGACCAGTCCACTTTGTGCATCACATCCAGGGTATGATAAGGAGACCTGCTTCTGGCTGCCTTTGCTTTATGTGGAATCCCCCTTGGCTTGTGCTAGGTAGCAAGGTGCTTCCTGAAGCACGGAGGAGCTGGACTAGATGATCTTTAAAGGTTCTTATCATCTCAAAAGATTCCATGATTCTGTGCAGCTACGTGACTTGACCTAGATGATGGGTCTGGGACTTCACTGATGGTTCCCAGGTGTAGGGAACCTACAGGTGGTGTGGAGAAGTTTGTGTTGGGTACCTTGGCAGTACAGCCTCTTGAAATGCTTTTCAGTTCCGCATTTCTCATTTGAGAATGTATATTGCAGTGGTTAATTAGACCCATGTTTAATCTTCCAGTATCTCCTGAAGTATTGCTTTCCTCATCACTCTCATAAACATCCTTGGTTACCGTTGCCCTGTGTCTGACTCTTGCAGGCTTCCAGATAACGTCACCTTTGAAGAAGGGGCCCTTATCGAGCCACTTTCGGTGGGAATCCACGCCTGCAGAAGGGCAGGAGTCACTCTGGGAAGCAAAGTCTTTGTAAGTGGATCAGGTATGGTAGAACATCCTCAGTCCGTGGGTTCTCTGCCAACAGTGGCACAGAGGGGGACGGGCAGGGTTCAGGCTATGCTTCTAGACTCAGATGTAAGTGTGGGTCATGGGAGAGTTCTGGCAGTGCCAGGGGGGACCTTGAGGCTGTGCTTGCCATGCTGCACTGCAGAGCTGCACTCTGAGAAGCCAGAATGCAAAGTGCAAGGCACACTGTGCCAGCCAGCTCAAGGGAGCAGAGGACTGGGGAATGTTTTCATTGCAGAGTCCCTTGTGTAGCAGTAGCTGGCCCCCAGATCTGCTCTTGCTGCGCTGAAATTGTGGCGCAGTGATCCGAGAGCTGCCCACCTGGTAGCACAGACAGAGCCCAGCTCTGGGCACACTCAAATCCCACAGCTGGTGCTGACAGTTGTAAATGTATTTTTTCTGCCCTTTGTACCTAGGACCAATTGGCCTTGTTAATGTGATTATAGCCAAGGTGATGGGTGCAGCAGCAGTTATAGTTACAGGTAAGTCTTTTAAAAGCATGCTTTTTTCACGTGATGCAACAAAAAATGTCTACTTCCTTGCTGTAACTTCAAGGTCACTGCTTGGACACCTCGTGCCTGTCCCTGAATGCGCCAGTAGAGTGCCTTTTTGGAGGGAATCCTAATAAATATCTTATTCTCCAGGACAGACAGGCTGGATCGCTGGGCTGAAGCCAGTGGAATGAGGTTCAACAGGACCAAGTGCCAGGTCCTGCACTTCGGCCACAGCAGCTCCAGGCAACACTACAGGCTTGGGGCAGAGTGGCTGGAAGACTGTGTAGAGGAAGCAGACCTGGGTGTATTGGTCGGTGTTTGGCTGAGCACGAGCCAGCAGTGTGCCCAGGTGGGCAAGAAGGCCAATGGCATCCTGGCTTGGTCAGAAAGTGTTGCCAGCAGGAGCAGGGAAGTGATTGTCCCTCTGCACTTGGCTCTGGTGAGGCCGCACCTTGAGTGCTGCAATCAGTGTTGGGCACCTTGCTGCAGAAGAGATGCTGAGGCCCTGCAGTGTGTCCAGAGAAGGGCAACAGGGCTGTCAGAGGTTTGGTGCATAAGTGTTATGGGGAGTGGCTGAGGGAGCTGGGATGGCTCAGTGTGGACAAGGAGGCTCAGGGCAGGCCTTAGCACTGTAACTACCTGAAGAGAGATGTAGTGAGCTGGGGATCAGCCTCTTCTCTTGTGTAAGTAGTGATAAGACAAATGGGAATGGCCTCAAGTTGTGTCAGGGGAGATTCAGGCTGGATGTTAGGAAATACTGCTGCTCCAAAAGAGTGGTCAGGTGCTGGAATGGGCTGCCAGGAAGGTGGTGGAGTCACCGACCCTGGGGTGTTTGAGGAATGTTTGGACATTGTGTTGAGGGACGTGGTTCAGTGAGGACTGTTGGTGATAGGTGGATGGTGGGACTGGATGATCTTGTGGGTCTTTTCCACCTTGGTGATTCTGTGATTCTATGAATATTCTCTGCCCTAATTAGAATCTATAGAGCATATAGGTTGCAACTGGTGCTTCTCTGCGAGGTTATCTGACCAGGCTAATTACACCTGCTTCCTAGCAGAGATAGATTGTGGAAGTGGGCTAGCTGCATTGCTGCAAGGGAATAAACTAGAGGCTAATGTGGATCAAGCCCTAGAAGCTTCCATTGGAATTTGAGCAGGTCTCTTGAGAAGAGGCCGTTCATCTGCATTACGAGTGTTATAGTTGCAGATGTTCTTTTTGCTTCTGCTGCCTCTGTTCGCTGTTTGTTTTGTTTTTGTTTCTGTTTTGAGCTCTTCTGACCTCAGCTTTCAGGTTTTGGTTCATGTTGTGCCTTTGACTCACAGAACAAAGTGTCTTGATTATCAGATTTTCTTTTCCCTATAATGCTTATAAACACTGATTGTGTCTGCTTGTAATCATTACCTTGATGGCAGGCAAACTCAATGTATTTTATTTCCTCCTTGGTGGTTTTCTTGGAGCTTTGGTCCAAGCAAACTGTTTCCTTCCTCTTGTAGTTCTAGATGGTGGCCTGGGCAAATTGTTTTTATGGTCATTATGTGTCCAGCCACAGTGTCCCTCTACAGTCTGTCTTGCTGCTTTTCTGCTAGGGAGTGCATTTTCCACTAATTACTGTTAGTGACCAAAATGGACTTTTCAGGAACCTGCATTTCAGAAATCCTTGCCTAACTGCATCCTGGAGAAATACAATCCAACATGTGTTTGTTTGGGTCTGAAAAACCTCTGAGCATGGAGATCCCACCAAGCAGCAAGCAGAGGTTGCTGAAGCGTTCTAGACCAAAGCCACAGCATGGTTCTTTCAGAAGGTTGTTGCTCCATCTCCCCACTTTGGACCAGGTTCTTTTGACTTCTTGGTTACTGTTTCTCAGTCTTCAAGTTGAGAGATAAAATTACGGTTCCACCCTTTTGCTTTTCTGGAAGGATCCTTCAGTACTGGCGTGCGTCAAAAGCAAAGGCTGCTTATTGCCTTCCCCTCCCAAAATGCTCATACTGCCAAGTCAGGGGCCTTTTTTGCTCTGCTGGCCCCACCCTGCAGGGTGTGCTTGGTGGATGTAATCAATTCAGGCCTTAGGTTTTGCTAAGTGTTGTCATCCAAGGATGATGGTTGCCATAACAGGAAGATCAGCTTGATCTCTTGTATCACACCCTTGCTGCAGAGCTGAGCTACGGCAGAGGTTGGTGGGTGACCCGGTCCATGGGTGGGGAAGAGACTGATGAGCTGGCAGGAATTGGTGGGGCTGAGGCTGATGGGTCACCCCAGTGCCCCAGCCCTGGTTCTGCTCCTGTGTGGTCTTCTCTGTAGCTCAGGGAGCTGCTGTCTGTGAGCTAGAGGTCTGTACAGCATGTGCTCCAGGTGACCCCAGGGAATTCTTGGTATCTGCTTTGTAGGGTGAGCGAGGTCTGAGTAACAATCCTGCCCTACAGATATCTGTATATCTGATATCCCGCACCTGGGGCTGAAACACTCAGAGACACCCATGCAGGTGCCGCCTGTAGTCAAATGTTTGTGCATGACACGAGCTGAGAAAAGGGTTCTGTTTGCCTTGTTGTCTCTGGGATTTTGCTGTGCTTTTGGTGTCAGCTTTAGGAACCGATACCTGTGAGGTGACTGATCAACAAGGCCCTTCTGTCATCTGCCACCAAACTCTTTGAGTTCATCTCACGTAATTTTTATGATGTCTATGAAGAACTTTGTCTGCTCAGCACACTGAGAGCTCATTGCTTTAAATGTTTCTTTTGGAAAACTCTGCACAGATGTGTAACTCACTAACAGAGCTTTCCCCGAGTGTGGGGAGAACTCACCTCCTATGGCTGCTGTCACAGCTGGAGCCAGCGGATGTTGGAAAACTTCTGCAGGAGCTCCAGCACTGTAGCTAGAGGCTGACACTCAGCTCTACCCTTCCCAAAAGCTCATGTGCACCAGAACTTGGCTTTCCTACCAGCTATGACAGCTTACCTGATACAGAATATTGCTGCTTTTGATAACCTTCTGTCCTTAAAGACATGTAGAAGAGCATCCTTATACCCCAAGCAAGTGAAGCAGTGGTTGGATATTTCTATAAGAGTGTCTTGCCTTTTTCTGTCACTTAAAATACACTTGGTATTCACTACCTAAGGGCCATTACTTCCCTTGTGCTGTTTAAATCTCAAGTCCTGAGTGCTGGTGCCTCTGGAAACCCTGGAATTCAGTGTCAGGGAGGATGAATAACTAGACCAAGCTCAGCTGCTTTGTGAAGGTTGATCAACATAAAACATGTGAGAGCTTCAAGAACATTTCCCAGTTAAACTGGCTTATAAAAAGCTTAAGTGTGATCTGATAACTTCTGTGGGATTAGAAATGCAAGGTCGGTTACTTAGAGTGGCAGTGAGAACACTAATTATCTCTGCCTGGGAAGTGAAAATTAATTTTTGCCTGAAGGCAAGATGTGGCCCTGTCGTTCTTTAAGTGAGAATTTACTCCCAAGAGTTATGTGGGGTTCAGCCAAACAGGTTTAAAATCTAAACGGTTTGGTCCTACAGACTCACAAATACTGGACAATCCAGTGGCCTTCGGATTGGAGAACCTGCAAATCTGGCAGCTTCAGTAAATGTTTAAGAGTGATTCACAGAAGCCAAGTGCTCCAAGACGTTACCAGAGGCCTGTCTGACTCTGATGGTATTGCTTCTCTTGCTGCATTCCTCTCCTGTGCAAGGACTTCCTTTGATGAGCAGATCAGGAAGCTGACGCCAGCTGCAGGAGAAGCGTGTGGTTTTCTCCTTGGGTTTTGCTCCCGTGCACTGAGGTTTGAGAGACATGCCAGGCAGAAGTGCTGCTTAGCTCTCGAAGTGCCTGAAAACTTTTGTTGTTTGATAAGTCTCTGAATGCAGTTTGGTGCCAAGTGTGACTGTACATCTGCCCAAGGTGCTCTGAGCTTGGGAAGAATAGAGGTGACTCACGTCTCCTACAGTCTCTCCTTTTCGGGTTTCCAGGGTGTTGCACTGAGTTTCCAGCCTTGGCTTTTCTTCCTTTGGCAGCATTTTATAACCCTGCTCATCCTGGGTGTGCCTGCACCTGGCCGTGAGCCCTCCTGCTGCCGGCAGGAACGTGTCCATCACCTGCCCTGGCAGTAATGCCACGTTCCCTGCATGATGGGCAGGCCCTCTGGCCTCACATCTTTCCAGCACTGGGGCTGACTCACAGCGGCTCACATCAGAGCAGTGGACTCACCAGTCCTCTCTCCTGTTCTCTGCCTTTGATCCAGACTTCTTTCCCAATGCAGACACGCAGGCCCCTGCAGATCACTGCTTTGGCAGGCAAAGAGATGATTTCTACCTGGAAATCGTAGAATTGATGAGGTTGGACAAGACCTTCAAAATCACCGAGTCCAACCACACTGCCTTCTAGTTCACGTGCTTCTATCGCTTTCTTACTGCAGTTAAAAGTGTCCAGCTCCTCCTCCCTGGAGATGTCCCTGTCCTCAGTGGGGTTTGGTGTCATGTGGAAGAGAGAACCCTCAGTGTCCACGATACAGATCATGGACCAGAAACACCTCTAGGTGCTGTCCGTAGCAGGGTGATTTGTGGGCCATCAGGTTGCAAATCAAAGCCTCAGTCTGTAGGTGCCTTTGAAAGGTACCGTTGGGGGTGTCAGCAATAGCCAAGCACCTTAACTAGCCCTAACCCACGGAAGGAGAAAACAGAAGTGTTGGGATTTTGTCTTACTGTAGGCTTCCTTTTGCCTTTTTCTTCACAGGTTCCTTTGCTTATTCTTCATTGCCTCCCCTAAAAATGAGTGTGTTTCTTTCCTACCTCCTTTCTGAAGCCCGTGTGAATTTGAGGGAGGGGATGCAAACCCTTTCCTGGCTGTGTGCAGTGAGCCCATATTCAGGCCCCAACAAGAAGTGCTTCCATCAGCCTCCTTAATGGCAGTCATCTGCTCTCATCAAGGCTGGGCAACCTTGTGGCCTGGGTGGGCTGCAGAAATTCATGGGACTCATCTTGAAGTAGCTGACAGCTGGGCACCAAACAAGGTGGTTCTGCTTGTCAGATAGGGGCAGGAAGCAGGCTGCAGGCTCAGGGTCTTGCTTCCTCTCCAGTTTGTGTGTTGAGCCGTTGTTGACATGTTTTGTCCCTCCACAGATTTATCTGCCTCTCGCCTGCAGGCTGCCAAGGAGATGGGGGCAGATTTCACCATTCAGATAAAGAATGAGACCCCACAGGAGGTGGCTGCCAAAGTGAAAAGTCTGCTTGGCTGCATGCCTGAGATAACTGTGGAGTGCACCGGAGTCCAGGCCTGCATCCAGGCCAGCATTTATGTGAGTACCAGTTGTCCCTGGGGTAGAGCAGTACTGATTTCTGCTTTCCCTTTCTGGGACCTGGTGGTGGATGACAGTTCTTTCAGGACCATTCCCTCGGTTTCAGCAGGCTGAGCACAGGAGAGAGATGATGTCTGTAAAACCACAAACTAGGGAAAGATTGTGCACTGAGGGATGATTAAAAGTTAGTCTTTGCAGACAACACTGAAATAATTGTCTGCTTTGATGCGAGGAGCACTTACCACACAGACTGCAGGAGCACCGGGAGGACCAGGCGTGGCCACCCAGCAGTGTCAGGGAGCCGGTAGAGCATAGAACAGCATCTTTCATTAAGTCCCAGTAAAGAGAATAATTAAGAAAATTAATTCCAGCAGGTGAAAAAAAGCAGCTGTGGAGAGGATATTTTGCTCTTGTGAACTGTGTAATAGTAGGATGTGGAGAAGAAACTTCCCTGAGGTTTGCAGTGAAATTCCAGGGGAGTATCAGTCTCGTAGATGTTTTAAACGTTTCCTACTGAGAACCAAAAGTAACTTTTGTACTCCTAGTCGTTTTTCAGAATGAGATTTAGATGACAAAATCCCTCAGAGAATTTCTAAATACTGCTTTTCAAGCCTTGTTTATCACGTGTTCCACACTTAGGGTCTCCTGGCAGCATCCTGCCTCTCCCAACTCCTCCACCGCGCCCCAGGCAATCCGTCACAGCCACAGAGAGCACCTTTATTTTTAGACAGATGGCAAAATACGACATACCTGTGTGTCTTTTCTCCAGGCCACTCGTTCCGGAGGGACCCTGGTGCTGGTGGGGCTGGGCCCTGAGATGGTGACGGTGCCCATTGTGAACGCTGCGGTGCGGGAGGTGGATATCAGGGGGATATTCCGCTACTGCAGCACGTGAGTCTCACCGCTGATGGGGCCTTTCATCCCTGACGTCCTTGAGAAGGCTCTTACTTGTGCTGAGGCCCTTTGTTCTGGGAGATGCTAAGCAGCAGCTTTGGCCTTCCACACTGCTATGTGAGAAGCTGGTTGCTTCTGCCTTCCTAATGTGGTCTGTTTTGAGACAAAGGATTAGGGGAATCTTAATGCGCACCCAGCCTTGCTGATGGTGCCTTTTCATCTCGTCATGGAAGGAAACCTTGTTCTTGTTGGAGGCCTATGCTTGCAAGGATTAGCAAGAGCTGTGCTTAGTTTTTGTATTTTGCCGGAGCTGAGGGTGTACCAGTAACCCATTTGAAGGCATATGTGTGTTCTGTGGAGGACTGAACTGCACAGTGTGCAGAAAAGCAGGTCTGCAAATGTTCTGAGAGCTGTCCTGGCCCTGAAGGCAGGAGAATCTCAGCTGTCCTCTTTGGTATTGTTCTCTGGAAGATTGTGGGCAAAAGTGCCTTGGTTGCCTGGGCTGAAGAAATTACTGTAATGAAGCCAGGTCCCTCTTTGCCCTTTCCTTGAGGCTCCAAGTTCTCACTTCCTGCTGTTTCCCTTGCAGGTGGCCTGTGGCCATTTCCTTGCTTGCATCCAAGCGGATCGACATCAAGCCCTTGGTTACGCACCGCTTCCCCCTGGAAAGGGCTCTTGAGGCATTTGAGGTCACAAAGAGGGGCGAAGGGATAAAAGTCATGCTGAAATGTGACCCCACTGACCAGAACCCCTGAGATGCTGTGGTGCCCGGCCCTCTCCCCATTGCACCGCCTGCCTGAGATGCAAAGCATGAAGCCACGAGAGGCCGATGTATGGCTGTTGCATGTTTACACAGTCACCTCATGCAGGCAGTGTTTTGTAATAGAGCTAAGAAATCAAACGATAATGAGGGTGAATGGCACTGAGGGATACGTGATTTTGCACATCCCCCTGGGGATGCTCAGGGACTGTGGCAGCCTGTGGAACAAAACCTGTCCGGGGAGCATCTGAACTGATTGTTCACCCCATGCTCTTCACAAACAGCAAACTGCAGGTCCTGAAAGCCCAAGGATTTTTTGGTGAAGCTGGGGTTGGAGGCTAGCTGGGACCATAGCTTCTGTGTCATCCTCCCCCCAGTAACTCCTGGTGGGGCAGAAAGGACTGCTGCAGAGCAGGCTGGAGCGTGTTTGAAGGAAGCTGCCCTGCCTCTGGCTGGGAAAGCAGATCCTGGTTTTTACCTGGCTCCTGAGGTTGGGCTGCTGGTGGGGGGCACAGCTTGCTTTTAGCGTGGGGGGAAGCACAGCAGGGGAGCAGCATCGCTAAGATAATACCACTGTGAATGAACTGTAACTTCTCTGGGATATCAGCCCTTCCTGCTGAATTAGTGAGCCATGAACAAGGTACTTGCCAAGGAGCAGGTTGCAGAAAAAAATCTAATCTTAGATTACAATTGTGTTGATTTTAATACTAGGAGATCACTCTGAGATCCATTTCTTGGGCCGGTACTGGACTTCCCACAATAAATGCTACCTTCCTGGTGTCTCTGTGTCCTCTGAGCTGTGCAGTGGATGGTTTGAAGGGGTCTGTGACTATTGGGCTGTGCTGTCCTCTGGGCTTTTGTGCTGCTGGCCCTCACCAGGCTGTGGCAGAGCTCAGTTACCCAAATGAAACTTTTCCCCAAGGCTCAGTCTCTGTGGGCACCTCCTAGACAAAGTCAGGGCAGCATTGGCACTGCAGGGTTAGGGGGCTGTGCCTCAGGTCCTTGGCCCTCCTGTCCTCAGCCCTTCTGTATGACGAGTGCAAGGGAAACTCACTCCTCTTGAATGTACTTCCAGGTGGGATGGTGCAGATACTCTAATGGGAGCAACACCAGCATGATGCTACAAGTACTGCAAGTCTGCAGGTGACTAAGACTCAGCACAGAAGGCAATAAAATGATTTAATACTTCAGTCAGCTTTATTTAAGCAAAGATGAAATCCTATTGCTCATTCATAGCCCAGGAGAGCCACAGCCCAGCGATGCATAGCCAGGCATTAATTAAACAGGCATAAATAATCCTTGATCAGAGGATGGTGATGCTGCTGAAAGAAGCCAGTGCAAACACAGGCCCTAAGCAGACCTGGGGGAGGCTCAGATCACTCATGAGCAGGCACAAATGAGTGCATTAGGGAAGCCGAGCCCACGTGCAGGAGAAGAGAGCTTGCTGCCTCCCCATGACCTGATCCCTGGGTCTGTAGGCAAAGTGCTGTGAATTTGGGTTCTGCCAACATTCCAAAAGTTGTTCAGAGCCAACCTCTGATTGCAGGATTAAGGTGGCAGAGCCAGGTTTGAATCCAGCACTGGGTTTCCTGCACAGGACGTACCGGGAAGGCGGTGCTGTGTGCTGGGCTCACCGTCACAGGTGCATTTCTTCTAGGAATAGCAGCGGCTGGGAGCATGGGACCATGACCGCCCAAGGCCTGGCTTGCATGGATGCTGAGGTCAAACACACCTTTCCCACAAAGACTGCAGACACAGGAATAAAACAGCAGGGGAGCAGGGTCAGAAATTCTCATAGTGATGTGCAAAGTAGGCCTGGTCCTTCTTGTTCAGCTGCTGACAAGCCTTTTCCACGCTCTTCGTCATCCCAGGCGGGCCACAGCTGAACACCCCGATCTTGTGCACCTGGGGAGGAGGGGCCAAAAGGGTCAGCAGCAGTTTTCCCCCAGCCCACCTGCTCGTGGGTTACCACCTCCCTGAGCAGCTACAGCAGTGTGGGGGTTGATGCCCTTCCTGCCCTCCTCTTACACCACCGAGGTCTCCAGGGCCCTGGGGAAAGGCTGGGACGGGGGACATCGTAGTCCCTCCCGCCTGCAGGTGGGAGCCTCCATCCCGTCCCCAAGCAGCTCGGTGGACTGACCTCGGGATGCACCTCCTGCAGCGAGTCGAAGAAGGGTACGAATGGGGGGCGGCCAAAATGGGTGATGGAGCGCAGGCCCGTGAACAGACTCTTGTTCAGCACCTTCTGGAAGTGCCGCTCACAGATGTACTGCAAGAGAGACCCGTGCATGTCAGACAGGCCACCAAAGCATGGCGTCCGCTCCACAGCTGCTCCCGGCATGGGACTCACCAGCATGGTGGTGCGCAGGTCGAACTTCTCAGCCAGCTGTGTGATGTAGATGTGCACAGACACCAGCTCGTTCCTGTCTGCCTCCTCCACCTCGTGGATGATGTCCGCCAGCCACTCAAACTGCCGCTGCGTGCGTGTCACCCAGATGAAATAGATCTGTGGAAGTCAGGGGTGAGGCTCAGCTTGGGACTAGGACCTCTCACACGTGCATGGCGCTCTTCCCTGGAAGGCTATGGGGTATTTGACTGCCAAAGATGCCAACACCAGGTGAAGGTATCTCAGGAGGGCTCTTGCCCTACAGGTGTTTCATCTTACCTTCTTACACATCAGCTTGGAGTTGATGGATGACTTGAAGACCAGGTCTTTGAGGATGGATGCAAAAGGTGTCACCCCAATGCCTCCTCCCACCAGCACCGACACCTCAAACTTGTGCCACTCCTGGTGGCCCTCCCCGAAGGGTCCATCCAGATAGAGCTAGAAAGGAGCCAGCAATCGGTACAGCGTCTACATCCTCCACTTGCCCAGGGATTGGTCACCTTCAGGGCTCACAGAATCACAGAATATGCCCACGTGGAAGCGATCCACAGGATCATTAAGCCTTACTTCTGGCTCTGCACAGGACCACCCAAAACCCTAAGCTTATGTCATTGCCCAAATGCTTTCAGAGCTCCAGCAGCTCAGGGCCATGCCTCTGCCCTGGGCAGCCCATTCTAAGCCCACCACCCTTTGGTGCAGAACCTTTCCCTAACACCCGCAGTAACTCTCCCCTGCCAGCACTGTGAATCCCATCCCTGGAGGGACACCTCACCTTGGGCAGCTTGCCGAGGACGGCCAGGCTCTCAGGGGAGTAGAGCTCCCGCAGGCGGGTGGTCCAGGGCCCCACAGCACGGATGTGCAGGCTCAGCGTGTCCTCGTGTGGGGCTGAGGTCAGTGTGAAGGGGTGGTACTCCGTGGTGCCCAGGGCCATGCAGGCAATGCGCACCCACTGCCCAGACTTGTAGTCAAAGTCCTGTGGCCGCTGGAAGCGGAGGTGAGTGACACCTGGGGAGGGGAAGGGGACCGGCTCTGAGCACCTGATGGAGCTGTAGGTGTCTCTGTTCAGTGCAGTGACTTGGACTGATGGCCTTCAAGGGACCCTTTTACCTCAAACAAGTCTATCATTCTATGACTTCATTTTTTCCTTTGTCGATTGGTAGAAATGCTTAAGGAAAGAGCATTCAAACTCTGCTGATGGGGGGTGGGACAGCTTGAGAGCACACTGGAGAGGCTGGGGTATGGGTGGGATGGCCTGAGCTCTTTGCTTCAGTTTCCCTAGTTGTGAGGGAAGCACAGTGCAGTGCTTGCAATGGGACATGGCTCCCTGTTGGAGGTACTAGAGCCACCAGCAAACCAATTTCTGGGGCCACAGGTACCTGTGTAGCACCGGGGTCGTAAACTGCCTCCATGGAATACTCCATAAAACCCAGCCCTCGCATAGATGTTTTTCCTCCACCCCTGCAGCCTCCATCCTCTTGTAAAGGGCCTGAGTTGACCTGGCACAGCACAGCCAGAGGGAAGCAGTACCTGATGGCAGGAGCTCAGCTTTCACCACGCTGATCTCCACCTTCTTTCTGCTCAGGCTGAGCAGCTTGTCTGCACCATAGATGAGAGCCGGGATGATGAAATAGATGTGGAAGCGGGGCTGCTGGATCAGAGCGTAACTGCCATGGATGACAACCTGGACAAGGAAAGGGGATGGCCACCATCAGCACGGCACTCGGCGCTGCCATTACTGGGTTGGTGGCAGCTCAGCAGCAGCAGGGAGCTGGAACTGAGGCCACCAGGTCCCTAGGGACCTCTCACGTGGTTGCAGTCCACAGGCATCATCCCCCTCTCCCGTCCCATGACCTCTACCAGCACATAGAGCAGCACATAGAGATGGTGGGTGATCCAGAAGGCCTGGAAGCTGACGCGGCGGAAATGGTGGGTGGCGAAGATGTACATCACGGCCAGAATGATGAGCAGCAGCACTCCTGTCATGCCTGCGAAAGGAAGGATTGGGAGGCGATCAGGGCTGCCCCATTGGGGCTCCACTGGGGCTGGGCCCTGCTGCGTGTTCTCACCTGGAATGGTCTGGAAGAACCACCAGTAATACTTCTGAGGGAGCTGTGACCTAGAGGGACAAGAAATTGCCCCGTGGCATTGCCAGCCCTGGGAGAAACCAAACTCCTGGCTTGCATTTCCATTCCCTTCTATGTCCAGGATGGTCTCCCTGGACTGCACTTTAAATTTCACCTACCCATCATTCATAAAGACACTGGAAAAGAGGCAGGACAACACACTAAGAGGCATGACTGAAAAGATGTAGACGTTCACTATGTGACCTGCAGTGTGGAGCACTATAAGGAGAGAAAAAGGGAGAGAACAGCATTACCACTGCTGTGGATGGAGATGTGACAGGCCTCACTTATGTGACCAAGGACGCGGTGATTCCTCATCTTCTCTGGTGTCTTCAAGCTTCTCACCTTCTCCTGCCACGCCATGGTTGTCTGATCCTCTTGCCCTACACCCCAGCAGCCCACCTACCTGAGAAAATCAGGGCTGCCATGGCAATCCAGCGGTGGAAATCCACAGCAGCATCGAAGGGGATGTAGCAGTTGAGGAATGTCTCCCGCAGGACGGTGATGAGGTTGCGGCACATGGTGAGCAGGATGTAGGAGTACAGGAAGGAGATGCAGGCAGCCGATCCTCGCGAGATGATGATCCCCACAAAGGTGGTCTGTGCAATTCCAGTGCTGGGGGATGCAAAGGCGTAGTCTGGCAGGGGAAGAAAGCAGAGCGGATGTCACGATGGGCCTAGTGATGGAGACAGTGCCCCTTTCTGCTCCACAGGGACGACCACTTGTGTTTGTAACCAAGGAAATGTCATCCAGATGGGCTTGCATAACAGAGGCATGATTTGCTGTGTCAGACCCTGGTATGCTGCTGCTGGGTGACAGGGTGTCCTTGGAGCTCCAGGGAGGCGTTTGCTCTCTGTTGGGCATTTTGAATCTGTACCTTATGTCCAAAGTTGGACATCTCAATGTAAGAGGTATCAACAAACTAGAGCAAGCCCAGAAAAGTCCACCAGGACAGGTGGGAGTTGGGATACATTATGTAGGGGAGAGGGTGAAGGAAATGGTCAGGCTGGAGGATGGTAGGTAGGGGATGGACCTTGTTGCTATCTGAAACTTTTTGGTGGGTTTTACAGATGAGACAAAGCCAAATTCTTTTTCAGAGCTGCATAGTGAAAGGATGAGAAGCAACTGCGTGAGTTTCACAAAAGGAAATTCAAGTTAGACATAAAACAAGAACACAGGGAAGATGATCACAAACATTGGCCCACACGCAGTGAGGTGGTGACATCTCCAACTTCAGAGCTCCTCAGGCTTCCTCCAGACAAGAGACCTTT